ACAGCCTCTATTTATACTCCTACTTATTATTACGTAACTTTACGAAAATACCTATCGTGATTACATCATACTTGCGAGATTACCATCGAACGTTCCAGAAATTTCTACGCATACTAATCATACCATGAATTATAATTACAAAGCAATGTCAGCAGGGAATAAACAAAGGAAGTCTTAAACAAAACAACCGCATACGTAATGTTTCTAAAGATTACGTAAGTTTTCATCACGTGTCTTCGTGGCACTCAGTGACTCCGTCACATTTCCCCCTCCTTCGGTAGACAAAAATGGTACATTTTTGACTGTCTTTTTACAACGTGTTCAAATCCTTGATAATGTGTCCGCATTTGAGTTATCCTGTCCTCTCCGATACTCTACTCTGTAGTTATACATCTGTAATGCCAAACTCCATCTAGTTAGCCTGCTGTTCTTCTCTTTCATCTGGTCCAACCATTTTAATGCATTATGGTCTGTCTGAATTGAAAACTTCCGGCCATATAGATAAACTCGCAACTGCTGTATTGCCCATACGATAGCCAAACACTCTTTCTCTACAACAGCATAGCGTCTCTCTCGATCAAGTAACTTGCGGCTAAGATACATTACGGGGTGTTCTTCATTGTCATCTCCAATTTGACTAAGAACTGCTCCAAGTCCTCTATCTGATGCATCCGTCTGTAGTAAAAACTCTTTGCTGTAGTCAGGGCTTCTCAAGACTGGTGATGAACATAGAGCCTTTTTAAGTCTTCTGAATGCGTTTTCACAATTATCTGTCCATTGAATAGTACCTTTTACTTCCTTTTTAGTGAGGTCCGTTAATGGGGCTGCGATGTCTGCATAACTGGGTATGAATTTTCGGTAATATCCCGTTAAACCAAGAAATGAGCGCACTTGCTTTTTGCTTTCTGGTCTCAAAAAGTCTCTGACCGCTTTCACTTTGTCATCTTCTGGTCGAACTTTGCCATTTCCAACAATATGTCCCAGATAATGCGCCTCGTTCATTGCCAATGAGCATTTCTTTGGATTTGCTGTGAGCCCCGCTTTACTGATACGCGTCAATATCTCCTCCAAATGTTTTAAGTGGTCCTCCCATGTAGCACTGAATACTATGACGTCATCTAAAAATGCTGCTGCACATTTTTCCATTCCTTTAAGTATCTTGTCCATCATCCTCTGAAAAGTAGCAGGAGCTCCGTGTAATCCCATAGGCATAACTCGAAATTCAAATAAACCAAAAGGTGTTGTGAATGCTGTCTTTGGTACTGCATCAGGACTTAATGGGACTTGCCAATATCCTCTTGTAAGATCCAGGGTGGAGATGTACCTTGAATTGCCAAGCCTGTCAAGAATTTCATCAACCCGCGGCATCGGGTATGCATCAAATGAAGACACCTTGTTCAATTCTCTATAATCAATACATATTCTCAGCGATCCATCTTTTTTTGGAACAATCACTACTGGAGCTGCCCATTCACTATTTGAAGGCTGAATGATTCCCATCTCTTCCATTTTTTCGATTTCCGTCTTGATTTTCTCATACTGTGACTGTGGCAGACGATACGGCCTCTTCCTAACTGGTTTTGCATCTCCTGTGTGAATCTGGTGTTCTACTACTGTTGTTTTTCCAGGGGAGTCTTTCAAAACGGTTGCGAATCTTTGTAGTAGGACATGCAATGTTCTTGATTGGCTGGCACTAAGATCTTCCTCAATTTTTACTGCTTCCCAGCCATCTTTAGAAAATTCGTTGTTTATAGAAGGTACCACTAAGTCATTCTCCTCTTGATCTTCTGAGCTATTTCCCCTCTCTATAAACCTCACCTTGCCATTTAATGATGACTTCAACTGCGCATACTCCTTACATTTATCCAATGTTGTGTCATTCCCCTGCATTTCTCTTATCTCTGCGGCGCTCCAACTGAAATTCTTCATCTCTAAACTTCCTTCATTTTCGTCATTTGTATTTATCTTTGCTGTTTCCGCCGTCTGTACTTCTTTTGACCCAGACAACGATTCAACTGTCCCCTCGGTATTGTCGTCTCTATCCACATCTCCAGTTGAAGAATTTATCTCGTAATTTACATCTGAAGTTTCCTCTGATTGATTGCCTTCTCCGCTAGCGTCGCTTAAAGCCCGCGCTTTTGCACCCGAGCAGATCTCCCTGGCCAACTGTATCGCCTCTTCTTGTTCCCGTGCTTTTTCCTGTGCTCTGGTCACTACTATAAAAGCTTCAATATCATCCCTCTCAAACTTCTCATCATTTACTATGTCCATGCCTAACAGAACCGGTCTTGGAAGATTCGGAGACACCACAACCCTTTGCAAGAACACTTTGTCTTGAATCTTTATGCTGACTTCGGCAGTCGGGTAGCTGACATAATCACCATGTGCGCATTGTATATCAACTCTGGTTTCCTCATCGACTTTGCCTTCTGGTATCAAGTCTTTGTGCACAAGTGTCCTTGAACAGCCAGTGTCGACAAGAATGTCTACCGGTCTCCCTTCTATTTCCCCTCTGCAGCTGAAAGCCTTTAGAATTTTACCAACTGAATGCTCTCCAAAGTCCAATGATTGTGCTGATCTGATCAACTTGTCTTTATGTTTAACATAATATCCCGTATGTCTCCCTCTGTTGTTGTTGTTGTGGGCCTGATTTGACGGACAATGCAGAGCAATGTGTCCTGGTCTCCCGCACTTAAAACACTGAATTGTCGAGCTCCTTGTAGGTGTATGTTGTATTGTATCGTTTTCAGGCTTTCCTTTGCCTACTGGTACCGTCGTATCTGCTTGTTTTGGTACAGGGCAGTTCTTTAAAATATGGCCAGTCTTTTTACAACCATGACATCTAATTTCTTGGGTACCCTGTCCCCTGATTGTGGCCTTTCGTGCTAACAGGTAATCGTCAGCCAATATGGCAGCTTCTTCTGATGTTGTAGGCTTTCGCTCTCTGATCCAAATTTGTAGCTCTAATGGCAGAGAACTTAGTAGCTGCTCCATTATGATAGCATTGGAAATCTGCTCCTTTGTACTTGTAGAGGGATGTACCCACTTGCAGTATAGATCACGCAGTTTCACCTCCAGTTCAGTGCAACTCTCCTCGTTCCTTTTCCTTGTGGCTCGAAATCTCTGACGATAGGTTTCTTCATTAATATCGTACCTCCTCAAAATGGCTTTTTTCACTTCTTCGTAAATGCGAGACTTCTCTGGGTCCATGTTGGCATACGCGGCTTGTGCTTTTCCAGAGAGCAATGGTGCTAATTTCACCGACCAAACCTCTGCTTTCCATCCATATGTTTCCGCTACACGCTCGAATGTGGTGAGAAAATGCTCTATATCGTCATCTTCACAGAGCTTTTTAAGAGCAGGCTTCCCGAGGTTTATCATTGGTTCTTGTCCCTGGCTGGATAAACTGAGTTCTGCGAATTTCTCTAAAAATTGCCTTCTCTCGTTGTCAGCTTGAGCTTCCCACGCAAGTCTTCTTTCCTCCTCTCTGGCCAGCCTTTCCTCTTTCTCTCGCTCACGATTTACCTTTTCCAGTTCTCTTGCTTTAATTTCTTACTCCCTTTCTCGCTCTCTGGCTTCCCGCTCTTCATTCTGAAGACGAATAATTTTCTCCAACTGGGCCTTCTCCTCTTGTTTTCGCTGCGCCTCTTGTGCTTTTACTTGCTCTTCTATGTCGGATTGCTTTTTTCCAAGTGTGGCTATTAGTTGCATAAACTGCTCGTCTCTCTTTCGATCCTGCTCCTCTCTATAGAGGCGCTCTTTTTCTTCTTTTTCTGTCATCCATTTAAGTATTTCTAAAACTGCTCCACTTTCCCCTCGTTCTTCGCTTGTATGCTGGGCTTCTTCCTGCCCTTTCCCTCGTCTTCCTTCGGCTGCCATGGTACTATTCCAACACACTACAGTATTTCAAACCAAATTAAACAGTTTTTACTCCACTTACGTGATCCTCGCCTACCGAAGTATTTTTCCTCGGCGATAAATGACCCCACTTCTGGTACCAAAATGTCGTGAACTCAATATTGCTTCGAACGCAACAACTACATGAACAGTCCACGAAGCAAGAAATAGACCTTTTTAATTTTACCACGCCGATATAATCACTAAAATCATTACAACTCTACTCTCTAACCACCACTAAGAAAAGAATTCCCTCTTCACGGGCACACAGCCTCTATTTATACTCCTACTTATTATTACGTAACTTTACGAAAATACCTATCGTGATTACATCATACTTGCGAGATTACCATCGAACGTTCCAGAAATTTCTACGCATACTAATCATACCATGAATTATAATTACAAAGCAATGTCAGCAGGGAATAAACAAAGGAAGTCTTAAACAAAACAACCGCATACGTAATGTTTCTAAAGATTACGTAAGTTTTCATCACGTGTCTTCGTGGCACTCAGTGACTCCGTCACAACCATACCATACCATACCATACCATACCATACCATACCATACCATACCATACCATACCATACCATACCATACCATACCATACCATACCATACAATACCATACCATACCATACCATACCATACCATACCCACCAATACCATACCATACCATACCATACCATAGCACACCAAACCAAAAAAAAAACAAAACCATACCATACCATACCATACCATACCATACCATACCATACCATACCATACCATACCATACCATACCATACCATACCATACCATACCATACCATACCAAACCATACCAAACCATACCATATCACACCAAACCATACCATATCACACCAAACCATTCCATACCATACCCTGCCAAATTGTTCCATCCTTTTTGCTTTTACTCAATAGGTAACAAATATATTTCTTGATAAAGCAAAATAAAAAAGTTTCAAGCCAACCATGAAGGTGTTGAAAACCTACTTACCAATGATTAAAACCGCAGGTCTGGGAGAAAAGAAATGTGATGCTTCTTCTGAAATTTGCTTATCTTCATTCAGTTGGTAATCTGTCTTTAAACCAAAAGCAACTGATAGGATGACTTCCATTGTCATCTGCCCATACAATCTAAAACATTTGATAAGTGATCCCATCATTAGAAATATTACTTCACATACCTTAACCACCTTTAGGGAAAAGAATCTGTTATCCTGCATCTAAGCTTTTCTTCCTCCCATACATGGCCTATACCTAACCTATACCTAACTGGTTTGCATCTCTCACCACCCCTCCAGGGGATCTTTTAACATACAAACTAGTGGGGAAAATCCCCACCAGGCCCATAAATTTCCCCACTAATTGGCCCATGATTCCCCACTAGCAAGTGCCCTTTTGTTGAAAATTGTCTTAAACACCAATTTGACTTATCTCCAATTACTGTTCGTTGTGTCGTTGTCGTGTTATATGTGTCAAATTATTCGTTATTTCTTTGGTCTTATTGCTGTCAACCAATCTCTGTTTGACGTTCTTGCACTACAGCAAGGCGAGGCAATGAAATCTGCGGGAAAAGTTGCTTGTGTCGTTGATCTCCAAACATGCCAAGATCTGAACGCTCGTTAAAAAGAAAGCAGAAAGAAGCTCAAGAAATTGCTTCAAAATGCAGAAAATTAACAAATTTTTATGGATCAAAATTAAAAACGGACAACAAAGGTACAGAAGAGAAAGAAATAGGAGCCTCCAGCCATCCAGATTCACCTCAAGCGGAAGATATTGAAAGCCAAGATATTAACAACCCGCAGCAATCAACACACACTGTTCAAACACAAAAAACAGCCAGTGTATTTTATTACCACGGAATTAAGCTGGATCTTAAGTTCATTATTGAAAGTTTTCCAGAACTGCAAAGCTATACAGCAAAGAAGAATGGGAAAAAACGTCTTCATGTTGTTTGCAATTTATGCAAAGAATATTTGGACGTGGCAAAGAAATACTCGCGAAATGGAAAAATTGGTATTGCAAATGGGGTCAGAGCAGATGATGAAGAACGACTCAAACTAATAATTGGTCATGTATTTTCAGAAATGCACAAAGCAACGAGAAATCAGAAGCAATTGGAGTTGATGTGGGAAGAGAAAAGTGCTAATCAACCATGGTTGAACGGTTTAAAAAAAGCCAACACCAATGTAGTTAAATTTTTGGCAAACATGGCATTTGATTTATACAATGACTGTCTTTGTGAAACTATTTCTGCTCACTCATGGCCAGCAAGGTCTTTAACAACGCTTGCAGCCACTCGACTCATATCCCTTATGGAAGATGAAGGTCCAGATGCAGTTCTACCAGAGTTCAAACCAACAAATGCTGAGTTACACTACAGGGATCCAATGTGCTACAGAGATATGTTGTCTTCAGTTCAAGCCATTGAACTGCAGAAAGTAAAAAAAATGATTCTGGAATGCATTGTCTACAGCATTCAAACAGATGGCAGCGTCAGTAAGCACATGAGAGATCACAAGTTTGTCAGTAGTACAATGTCAATGACAAATGGCGACAGGCATACAGTTATTATGGTGATGTACTCTCCAGAAGAAAGAGGGGCCCACGGCTTGCTCGAGACTGTGAATCAAGCTTTAAAGGTATGTGAGGCAAATGAAGATAAATTAGTCGGATTAACAACGGATGGTGAAGCTTCAAATACTGGGCGAAATGCCAGGCTTTGGAAGCTTCTCGGTGACCAGTTGGAAAGGAACATTTTTACATTCTGGTGCTGTGCCCATCGTTCAGATCTTGCAACCGAGGCAATTATCAATTCTGTCCCAGAGCTAAAGATTTGGAAGTCATCACTGATTGGTGTTGCTACATATTTTCGTACATCAACTTCAAAAAAGAAAATGCTGGAGAAAGCAGCTATTGAGATGCAGCAATTTCCACGGCATCATGACGTACGGTTTGCTCAACATTTCCTCTCACTAATAAATGCTATTCTTACGAACATTAAAGGATGTAAACAAGTTTGGGGAGAAATTACAAAAAAAGGAGACCGCAAAGATAAGAGGGAGGCTTCAGGATATCTGAATACGTGGAACGAAAGACAGATTTGGCTCACAGCACTAATGGGTGATATATTCGAGGTTTTCACAAGCAAATGCAACGGGATGATCTTCTGCTTCCAGATATATTCACTTGTTCTAGCATGGCACAAAGGAACTTGATTTGTTGAGCGGCACACCCTACCCAGGAAAGCGTGAATCAAAAACTACACTACCATGGAAAAACATCGAAACACAGAGAGCAAGACAAACGCACAACACTTTGGTGCCAACTAACAGACGAAATGAATCTGCAATTCGCATTGAAATAACATCTTCAGCGAAAAATTTTCTAAGTGAGCGTCTGCACCCAGAGCAAGAAGAAATTTTGTTGAGTATGAGCGAATTGTTGAGTGCAAATTCCCTGGGGAAATTTGTGGAAAAAGGAATTGGGATGACCCAGAGGCTTTTTCCAGGGGAAGAGGGTCGCTTTGCAGATGAATGTTGTGGACAGTGGGACAAAATCGAAAATGTGCCGCATCTTCCAGAAGGAAGCGACATTGGTTGTAAACTATCAGTACGTCTGAGAAAGCTCTTGCCTCTTACAGATGGCACCGTTCAAAAAGTGCTAGCTGCTATTGGAAGTATGTCACCACATTCCATGCAAACCGAGAGGATTGTGTCTCATCATAACATCATTGTTGAAGATTCAAGAACAAACATGACTGAAGACACAATCAAGGCCAGACTGCTTATTGCCCTAAACGGTGTTGGAACAGCTCATTATGATCCACGGCCAGCTGTTGCCCATTTTCTTTCAGCACGTGAGCGACGAAACCGTCAACCAGACTTTGATACATACAGCAGACGGAAATTCATGAGAAAGTTTTTCAGACAGACCGGACATTTTTAAGACTTTTGTAGCAAAATATTTGTACCAAAAAGTTTATTCTTATAACTCTAAATGCAGAAAGCATCATGATCTTGAGTACTATATTCAAATTGTTTTATCTAGTGTTTTTCTAACTATACGCTGCATGGGTGTAAGGAGTTATGTGCAAAACAGTGAAAACTTTACCATCTATGCATACTCGTCCCTTTACTTTTGTTTTTGCCGTCAGTTGCGTTACATTAAGGAAAGTGCCCTTTTGCGTAAATTCCCCACCAGTAAAAATTTCTTGAAAGATCCCCTGCACCCCTCTCATTCTTTATTTTTCTCTCTATTTCCTTTTCTGTTTCTTTTTCCATGCTGCTTTTTTAACATGCCTTGGGGTAAAGAACATCATGGTTCTCTTTTGCTTAAACCAGT